GTGAAACTGTTGCAATCATTCTCAACTACTTCTTGCTAGTTCATTCCAATCTTTACTAAGTTTGATTTTTTGTTGTAGCTGTTTATTGTTATTAATACTGATTTGTTACCATTGATCTGGGAGTCTTTAGCTACATAAAACCACTTGGCTCTTTCGAGAATATTTTTCATGTCTTTTTCTGATCTGACAATTCATGTCATGTTGTCCATATATGTTATTGCAGCTTGTCGGATATTCAATTGCATGGTTTCATTTTTATTGTGGTTGGTTCTCCATTTACAGTTCATATAATATCCCAGTTTTGTATTTTTCTGGATTTCACATAGCAAGGAATCATAAAAAATACACTAAAGAAGAGGAGAGATTGTTTTCCCTTGATCTATTTTATCCCCCACCATTATTTTCTTTGTAATTACTACATCAGTGATTACTTGTAAAGATCTATTAATAAAAGGGTCTAACATGAGTGTTATGAGGTTCTTTGGAATTTTAATTCTTTGAAATGCTTTTTGTAGCATCTCCAAACTAATCGTATTATATGCTTTGGTGATATCTTGAAATAGAATCTACAGTTCCTTTTTCTTTTCTCTGGTCTCTTCGCAGATATTGTTTAGCAAATAGATAGGTTCTGAAGTGCTTTCTCCTAGCAGTTCTGCAAAATCAGAGCTCTTTAGAATATTGTGTCTTTTGTATATGGTTGATAGTCGATTAGTAATAATTTTGGTAAAATACTTTCGTGAGACATCTAGAAGAACTATTGGTCTAGTGTTGCTTAGAATGTCTTGCTATTTTTTTCCCTTCAAAATTGGATATAGTAGACTTTCTTTTCATGCTGTGGAAGTCATATTATAGGTTAGGTATATGTTTATAAGTTGACATAGTATTCTTTTTTCTGTTGTTTTGAGATTTTTGAGCATCTTGTATTTGATCTTGTTGGGTTCTGCTGCTTTGTCATTTGGAAGATCTTTCAGGACTTCTTTTAACTCATTTTCCGAAATAGTGTTCATTATCTCATTATACCATTTTTCTTTTATTTCAGTTTTAGAAATGTACTGTTTTTTTCATTTCTCATCTAGTAGGTCAAAGTTGTTATTTCTTTTCTTGAAGGCTTTTTTATAGTACTCTGCAGTTTGATGCAGAATTGCCTCTTTGTTTATTGATATATACTCTCTTTCTAGTTTGTCTTGAATATGAATTCTGTCTATGATAATTTTGTCTTGAAAATTGTTTGTCAAATTCTGTACTATCTTTCTTTGGTTCTCTCTAAGATTCTTACATCTCTCTTGGATTGCTCATCTGATTTCTGTGTTGGTTCTGTTTCTTTCCTCATTGAAACATATTTTTTTAAGGGAGCTGATTGTCTCTTTAAGCTATTGTATCAAGATGTCTTTCTTTTCTTCTTCTTCAAAAATGTTTGAAAAAGCTTGAGTTGATTTGAGTGCCAGTGCTATTGATACTATATTTTGGTTGATTTTCTTGCATTCATACTATAGCTTTTGTTTCTGAACAGATCTTTCCAATGGGTCTAGTAGACTAGACCAGTTGTTAAGAGTCTTGATGATTAGATGATAACTGTGAAGTGCAAGTTGTTCTCTTTGACTTTTCTTGTAAAAGTTTGTCTTGATCTTTCCTCTTGTTGTTCTCTTTTCACAATATAAGTGATTAAAAGCTGAGATTATTAAAATCTTTTCAAATGTCTTCCATAAGTCTTGGATTAATTGTTTGTGCTTGTTGTTATCAGTGTAGTTAGAATGTATTGTTTGGATTAGGTTTGAAATGTTGCTTTGTTATAGCTTTAGGTCAACCTTGTGTTTATATTTTTTTTATTGTGATTCTATTGTTTTAAAGATGTTAATTATTTTTCCCTATAGGGCTTGGGTTTTTCCATGCTTATCTGATGATCTTTAAACATGATATCTCATGTGATTTGAACAGATAATATGGTATGATCACTATTAGAAATTGAGCAAAAGTTCTTATTGTTGAATTGGAGTATATTGTTTACTATGCCATAGGATCTCCAGATATAGTTGATTCTGCTGAAGCTTATATTGTTTTTTCATGTGTGAATTATCTTTATTGGTTTCCATAGTTGGTGAAGATCAGAAAGGTTCCAACTGTCCATAAAATTGAACAGTTTGATTTCAGAATCTTCAGACTTGGAAAATTCTTGTGTATTACTTGTTGTTCTACAATTTACTCTTGGGTTAAGTGTTGTATTGAAGTTACTCATTATTATAATCTCATAGTTTTTTTGTGTGTAGGTCTGTAATAGGTTTGAGATCTTCTGTAGTTCCCAACTTTTCTTTTTGTCGCTGGACAGATATACTTGAGCAATCCATGTCTTATAACTTTTGTTTAGGAGATTGATTGCTATAAGGTGACCTTCAATTTTGTCTATTGATGCTATATATCTTTTGATACTTCTATGAATTAGTAATAAAACTCCTGCATTTCTGGGGTTGTCTGGCTTAGCACTTGAGATACTTTTATATATTTTTTGATTTAAAAGGTAAAGTGTTGGTTTTCTTTGGATAGTTTTGTTTCATATAAGCCTAGGATATCAATTTTCCTTTCTAACATTTCCATTATTAGGTTGGTTTGGTCTGTGTCTCAAGTGATTTCTCTAATATTGTATATTGCTATTGTTATCTGTAGTGTTTGGATATCATTATTGTTGATTGAAGAAGTTGATATAATTTCTCTTCTCTGGTTTTTTAGGAATAGTGTTTTTTAATTGAATAGGAATTTTTCTATTTGTGAGGTACTGTTGATATTGATGTTTGTTGCTGAAGAGGATAGATATATTGTTGATATGGATTGTATAATAACAGTATTTGAATCTTCAGCATTAGTTGTGATTTTGACTGGTGTGACTATTTTTAGAAGCGGTTATATGACTTTTTTCAGTTGTCATATCCTTTCTCTAGTCTATATAATTGATCATTAATTTTTTTCAATACACTTGTGATTTGTTGCCAGGTATTATTTTCTTTTTCCTAATTTGCATCTCAATATTTTCTATTCGAATAAGTATTGTTAAGGATTCTGATCTTAATAGATTGATCTGTTCTGGACTTTGAGACTTTCTCTTCTGAGATAATACTTGTTATATCTTTTTCTTCTGTATCGAAATATTTAGGGTTTATATGCTTTAAGTATCTGTTTTTCTGAAACTTGATGCTTGCTTTGGTGATAATTTTTGTATTGTTTCGGTTACTCCACCGGGTCTTGTTTTCAAAAAGTTCTACATATGACTTTAAGGCTTTGTTCAAATCTTCCGTATTGAAAAAGCCAAGAATGGCAAAGCTTCTCTTCTTTTCTAATTTACTATTTGTGGATATATAAATGGTTTTGGTGTTGAGATGTTTGGTTGCACTCATTATTCTGGTTGAATTTAAATTTGAATATTATTAAATTTAAATATGTAAATATAAATATAATTTATCATTATCAAATTTAATTGAAGATCTCTGGAGTTTAATATATAAATTTTCGCTCTGGAGTCTTTTAACAATGATGGAGGTTCTCTAGAGGTCTAAGCCCAAAGATTTTTGAAGATCTTTGCTAAAAAATTTCCTGATATAGTACCAGATTATTTATAACCTTCTGACTATTTTTCAGTTCTCACTTATTTTTCTATGCATAAAATTAAATCCAGCTTACTTCCATCAAAAGATCGATATCCACAATATATCAATAATATTTTGTATTACAATATCAACAATAAAAACATCAAAACAACTATACATATTACCAAAATCACTACAAATTACAAATGTAGTCAGATTGGGTGAGTATGTAACCAATGCTCTGTATAGATTTCAGTTATATAATCTATCAACTTTTTATATTAATATTCCAATCTATCCAATCATATCTACTATCTTTATCATATTTATACCATTATCAACAATAAAATAATATACTAAAGAAATAACCAGACCAGTTGTTGAAACAAACTTTATATTTTTTCATATTTACTTTCCTCTATAATTTCATTTTTTCATTATTTCTTTTTTACAAATCTAAAGCTTTTGGTTTTTTTTTAGTTTTTTTTTTAAATAGGTAATTCCTTCCTTGTTTTTTCTTGTAATAGGTTTTTTTTAGAAATATATCTACTTTATAGATGGTAGGCTAGTATGCATGATAATACATCTCTAGATTTAAAAATTAATTATGTATTGATAAAACTCATAATTAATAAAATAATGAGAAAAGCCTCACTTTAACAATTTAAAAAAAGATAAAAACAAACAAATAAATTATATTTGAAGTTTCAAGAATTCATTTTAACAAAAAAATTTTTTTCAGAGATTGAAATTTCATAAACTTCACTACATACAAACATATTAATCAAAATTCATATAATAAATTAAATTTAATATAAAGTATAAAATCAAATCCAGAATCATTAGAAACTTCAATTTATTAATAAGTATTAAAAAATCAATCAAAAATCAATTAATAATAATTGAATTATTTCTTTAATGTATTCAAAATCTAATGCAATAAAGTATATCAGACGAGATCTTAATATATATCATATACAGTAATTCTATTGCTGTTATGTTTCGATCTCTGTTTTGGAAACAATAAGAGAATTCCAGCATTCTTTAGATGGAATTTGCTGCTTTAATCTCGATGGTCATTTTTGCCTTAAATTCCTTTCCTATTCTGAATATAATTTTCATAAAAACAATTACAAATTGATATATAACAAAGAATAACTAAGGTTAATTTACAAGAAATGGATAAGGAAATAGGAATAATTTAACAAAATTGGTGCGAAATATGAGAAATTAAAATAATTATCCTGCTAATTTTAATAAGAAAATGCGAAAAATGGATGTTGGGAGAAATGAATTTTATTTTATACATGAACATGAGCACTTCAAAAGGAGTCAGCAAAGTCCAAGAATATCCACGAACAACCCATTAATTTAATCATTATGTGGCATATTCCAACCCGATCAAATAATTACTTCCCCAAGGCATACCCCAACCTTTTACACCAATTTTCTTCCAACAAATTCGTGGAATTCCAATATCAGCCAAAAACAGCTCGCCTGTTACTGCACGAGATCTACATCCAATTTTAGGAGCCCCAAGACAGAGTGTCCACTTGGGATGAATATGTAAAGAGTTACCTGGGTTACCTTAAATATATAGCGCATTTGTTTTTAACGATGATTGTTAATTTAATAAAAAACAATAAGAGAACAAGGAATTCGGCTTACCAGTATTCCCATTAATGCCACTTGGCATATCTAAACTTAAAACAGGTGCCTTATTAAGATTAGCCCAAGTCATTAAATCGCAAATTAAGCGCTTCTCATTTTCATCGGCTATATCTCGAAGAGTAAGTTGATAACCGAGTAGAGCGTCAACAATAAGGTCCACGGGATTGGTAAGTTGCTGCGGAAGGTCTGGAAATTTATAGAACAGGCATCAAAAATTGTTCATCGTTGAAAAATAATTTTAAAGTGAGAACTAACCTGAAACATTTTTCACAGATTTACCGCCGGTTGGAAGCAAAATCTTTTGCTGATATGCTACACTCTAATTATATAATATAAACATTAATTTCAATTTGTTATTAAGCATAATACCCATTCATAAATTTAAACAACCTCAAGTAAGTCATTATCCTTGCCGACAATACAGGCAATTACATGACAGCCGTGGTTTGCCAGGTGTCTGGCGGTAGCGATACCATAAGCACCGGTCTTATTGTTTCCGGCAAGTATTACAACTAATGGGGCTGCATTATGATTATGCGGTTGTATGCGACTCGAACCTCCTTTGTAAGAGTGTTAATCGTTAAAGTTTCTCCTCACAATAATAAATTATCAATAACTTACGTACCAAGTGCTTGGAGGCACATCATAGATGCACCTCTTCCAGCATTTTCAATCATCTGATCTTCATTAGGACCTGTTTCTTCTGCTAAAATTAATATCACGACCGTAAATAAGCTAAAATATTTCATGACGATATTTTTATGTAATCTAATGCACACCCGTAATTCTCTCAACTTCCAGCATCTGTGCAGGCTGAACAGTTGGACAAACAACTCCAGTCAATGTTCTTATCTTGGGCTTTCTGTGATCACCAACTCCATTCGTTTTCATTTTTTTTTTCCACGAATCATCAGAATCCACTTCCGCATCATTAGCTGCTTCATCATCTTCTGAATAATAAAATTTTGCTTTACGAGACGAAGTTTCCAAAACGTTCTCATGCGACGCAAGTTTTGACTGCAAACTTTGATTTGAATAATAACCGTTACGATGATTCGTACGATAATTTGGATTTCGATTAATGTTAACAAGGAGGCTTTCAGGTGCAGTTAAATCCAATTCCTTAATTACCAAGATAAATTAATCTAAAACGAAACATGACACTAGCAGAAAAACTTGTTTGTCTGCATATTGCCTACCCTAATTTCCGCAAACACCTTTTCCTTGTCAAATAAATCAAGATTACCCTGAAAATCAAACTCTTCGGATTTGAAATCATTGACATCACCTCCCGCCCATTCATGCATTTGGCGACGACCTCGTCTGGGTCGCCTTGCTATAAGAATATAATTTAATCAAAGGATCCGGAGAACAAAATGATGATGACAAATAAAATTTTCATACCAGGCGATTGTGGAATTCTATGGTTCTGATAATAACCATTTGTGCCATTATTCTATTAAAATCCATACGCGAATTTGAATAAATATTATAAACGCACCACCACCTAGAATTAATCAGATTGTATATAAGTAATTTAGATTACTTTACCTTTTTCCTCCTCGAGGTATTTCTTTTAAATACAGCATTATCAGATTCGGCGCCAGTTGAATCACCTTCATGATGATTATTAACATTGGGTGCATTTTTTGAATTCTTTTCGTATTTACCAGTATTCGATTGTATCTCCTCTTCATACTTTGAATCGCTATCTCCCGTTGATCCAGATTGAATCGTTTTCGGAGGGGTATGAGGACCTTGCACAATTTGCTGATAATGAAGTTGCTATGATTAATCATAAAAAAATGTGAAATGACGTGTGTCAGAGTTACGATTAAAATTAATAGACCTAATCAAAATAATTAAACAAATGGTTTTATAACAAGAGTAAAGTTCATAATGGTTAAAACGATCAAAAGTAATTCTCGAAAGTAAATTTTTCTTCAACAAAAATCCAATACATACAACGTGTGATGGCGAGGTTCTAAATTTTTAATTTAATCAATATAAATGCTTAAAGCTATGTTGATGTCAAGAAAGTAAACTATTAAATACCTTTCCAAATCGTATGAACTTGCCGGAGAAATCGACTGGTGCTGTGATGTCGAAGGCCCGTGAGAATACTAATAAATGAAATAAAGGGACAGTAAAATCTTAATATAACTTCCTGTTGTCAAGTAAACTTATATATGAAAATTAGATACCAACCGAAATTATCGCTGGATCAGTAAATGGTGAATTGGGCAGTAAAGCAGTGGGGAGTACTCTATTTTGAGTTATCTCATGTGCAGAAATGTTCTTTAAAACAGGAGTGTTGCTTTTCGAATATGATTTGGCATCTTCTGCATTTTTTACATTGTTTTGAGAAGGTTGCTCCGGTGGTTTTTGCTGGAATGTACTTTGTTGATTCGAAAGAATTTGAAGATCTTTGATGTCTGTCCCAGGTACACCATATATGGCAAGCTGTTGAATACAACCAGTGTTTTTGTTGTCGAGTTTTACTAAAAACGAGACCGAAAACAAACGGGTTAGTAAAAAATCAAAAAGTTGATCAAGAAAACTTATGTCTGTGCCCAACAAAATAAAAACTTGTAAGCACAATTAATTCACAGGTCAAATACATACCGTTTTTAAGAGTTAGTAATTGTGTATGGGGATCGATATGTGACACAGTTCCCTCTAAAGAAGAGCCATTGCTAAGTTCGACATGCACCCCGAGGCCAATAAAAGCTTCTGCCATGTGTTTATATTGTTCACTATACAATAAACTTTTTCAACTTCGAAAATTTACTTATGATATAAATTTGAAAAATGTGTGAGAAACGTTTTTTTTTTTTTTATCTATATATATCTAATGAACGAATACGGGGCCTTTTATGTATATTTTTTATTACGAGCCTGTGATCTCATTGGACAATATTTGTTGGTGTAGATTCTACCGAGATGTATGATTTTGATATTACTGCAAATCGCGTTGCAAGTCAAGATTATTTATTAATTTTTTATAAGCAATAATACAATAATATAATATAAATATTAAACTATAATTAAATAGTTTACAAAATATAGTATACTTGTTATAAATCTAATAAATTTATATATAATTTTTGAATTTTTAATAATATTATTATTATATTAAAAAAAAAAAATTATTTGTTTTTTTTTTATAGATAAATACTATTTCTTTATTTATTCAATATTACAAGATATACAGTATATTTAGAAAAAAACAATATTTCTTGGATGCAAAATATATAACAAATTAAATACTAGTCTACTTATCAATACTATAAATAGTTAATATAAAAAGAAAATTTCAAAACAATATTATTATTAAATATAAATCAAGTAGTAGTTATACTTATTTACTTAAAAAAAAAATGTTTAAAATATAAAAAAATGTTTAAAATATAAAAAAAATTTTTTTAAAAAAAATAAAGATAATTAAAACTAAAACAAAATCAAATAAATTATAAATTTTATATAAAAAAAAATTATATTTCTAAAAAAACTTTTAATCAGATTTGTTATTCTATTTCTTTGGTTCTTTTTAACTTATTTCTTAAATCGTAAAACATTTTTTTTATAATGTTTAAAATTTTTAACTAAAAAGTTACTTTTTATTTATTTTTTTAAATAATCAAAATATTTTTCTAAAAATTTATATA